AAGAACATGGGCCTTGTGGATACCACGGTATTTTTAGGAATAACATTAGATTCTAAACTACAGTGGGGCCCATATATTGATAAATTGTCGAGTAGACTTAGCTCTGCAGCATATGCCGTAACGAAAATACGTAGGTTAACTGACATAGATACTGCCAGATTAGTATACTTCAGTTACTTTCATAGTGTAATGTCGTACGGAATCCTATTGTGGGGAAATGCTGCCGACATACAAACAATTTTTGTGCTTCAGAAAAGAGCAATTAGATCAATTTATAATCTTAGGATTAGGGACTCTTTAAGGGAGAAATTTAAGGAAATAGACATTATGACTGTTGCTTCTCAATACATATACGAGAACTTAAAGTACGTTCGTAAAAATATTATTTTGTCTTCTATAAAAAGTGATGTACACAATTTTAATACAAGAAATAAAAATAAATTAACTGTGCCTGTCACTAGACTGCAAAAAGTTAATAACTCATTCAAGGGTCTTTGTGTGGGCTTCTACAATAAGGTTCCAAGTAAAATACAACAATAAGATTTCATGCAGTTAAAATCTGCTATAGAAAAAATACTAATTATAAAGTATCCGATTATATAACAGATAAGAACGCTTGGCCTTGAGATGATCCAGCAACTGGATAGGTGATTACTTCTAAACTCATTATCTTGTTTTCATTATTATTAAATGATTATGTTATAATTATAAGACCATAGTTTTTTTTCTCTTTCTGTTTATAATGTATTGATCTGGTAATGACATGGTTTTTGTAAATGTGATACCTCTTATTAGAGCTGGTGAGTTTCTTACTCGTTCTTCTTTTCGGCAAAAATACATCCTGAAAGCGTGGTAGGGAAAAAAATGTTGGACGATTCAAAAGTACTTTTAAGAAGTCTATTTGAATAAAGATTATTTTGACTTTGACTTCGATTATTACTTGTATTTCAGCGAAAGTTACACAATAACTTCGCTAAAATATCTCTCATTTTGTAAAACAAAATACAAAAATAAAGAGATTTCTACGACAGTAACATGTCTTAATTAAAATGTTCCATACCTTTACATATATTACAGATTATCAATAAAAACGTAACAATACGACATAACTTGTAAAGGTTTAGATTTTTATCCAATTTTTTTTTTTCAAGAAAATCGGTACATATCTGTTTGTTCTGCAATACTGGATTTTTTTTTTACAAGAATAACGCAACAAGGAGGACCCTTTCTTAAATAAATAATCATAATAAATTTTATAACTCACTTAAAGGTCTGAATGCAATTTGATCCAAAAACCGAAAACCTTGAAGTTATGTTGTATTGAGCTGAATAGGCTAAACAAAATTATTAAAAAGTTACAGGAATTTCAAACTTTCAAGAGCGTTTTATCACAAATTGAGATTTTTACTTTGTCACGTTCTTGTCGCAAATAAGCGATGTCAAAAAATTAAATAAAATAAAAAATAGTAAATGTCAAATCATAGTCATAAATACAATAGGTTCATATTATAATCAAAGCATTCATATAATAATTAAGAATGAGATTTATCTTGCAAGAATTCATTGATTGAATAATAATTTTTATCCATTAAATATTTAAATAAACAACAGGATTTGAATGTAATTACATTATCAATAGTTTTAATATTATTCGGTAATTTATTATAAATGCGTATACTCATACAATATGAGTTCTTCGAATTCACAACGAGTCTTTGAGTTGGAATACATAAATTTGTACACTTCCTACCTCTATGTGCAAAATCTTTATTTTGTTTAAATAAATGGAAATGTTTTTTATCAAATATCCCCACTTCAAAAATATATAAACATGGAAGTGGTAATACATTCAATGATTTAAACAAAGGCTTACATGAGTCCAAGTAGCCTGCACCACAGACTGACCGTATGCATTTTTTTTTGTAGTTTAAAAGCACGAATTGCATCGACCGAATTACCCCATATCAGTATTTTTACAAATAGTTTGGCATTGTATTGTAAAGTGCATGCATATTACAATAATCAGAATCTTATATTTAGTTTCATTTAAAAACAAATTAAATTAAGGACCTCTCTAGAGTAAAGGCCTCCTCCAGGTTTCTCCACTTAGATCTGTCACCTGCTTTTTCAGTCCAATTCTTTCCTGCCACTTTTTGAATTTCATCAAGCCATCTCTCAGCCGGTCTACCTCGAGTCCTCTTACCATCAGGCCCCTGCCATAATGTTATCTTTCTTGCCCACCTGTCCTCTTTCATTCTAACAATATGGCCAGCCCACTTCCATTTTAATCGTTTACAATGTTCCAGAGCATCAATTACATTTGTTGATTTTCTTATGTCTGTATTTCTATTTTTATGTTTTAATTTTAAATTTAGAATGCTCCGTTCCATGGCTCTTTGGGTTGTTAGAATTTTTTCTCTCGTTTTTTTGTTGAAAATCCATGTTTGCGAAGCATAAGTGAGAGATGGCAAAATACAGGAGTCTAATACAATTTTCTTCATCTTGATTGAGATATTTGATTTCAAAATTTCTTTAAGACTCCAAAATTTATTCCAGGTTATGTTAACACGTCTCATTAACTCATCTTGGTGTCTTGATTTTGAAAATGATACTTGTTTACCTAAATATGTGTACTCAGATACGTATTCCAGTAGCGTGTTTTTAACCCTTATTGGTGTGTTTATGCTATTTGTCATAATTTTAGTTTTGGTTGTATTTAGTTCTAGACCAATTTCATTGCTTACAAAGTTAATTTCATTTATCATTGATTCTAACTCCGAGGCGGTATTTGCGAAGAGTACGAGGTCATCGGCAAATCTGAGATTATTTAGAAATTTACCGTTGATGTATATACCTTTGTTTTTCCACTTTAGCGTCTTCATTATATTTTGCAGAACGGTAATAAAAATTCTTGGTGAGAGAGGGTCGCCTTGGCGGACACCTCTACATATATCAATTTCGGTTCCTGTTCTGTCCAATATTACTCTGCTTTTGCTCTTCTTATATATGTCTTGTATGAGCTCAATAGTTTCTGTTGGTACTTCGCATTCATGTAAAGCTTTCCACATGCTGGAATGGGATATCGAGTCAAATGCTTTAGCATAATCAATGAAAACTAGGTAGAGCGGGCGTTTCATTTCTTCGTATTTCTCTATAATGAGTTCTAGCGAGTGTATATGGTCTATAGTTGAATATGTACTTCTAAACCCCGCTTGTTCTACTGGTTGGTGTTCTTCGGTGTATTTTTTAAGACGTTTCTCGAGGCAGGAAGCGAAAAGTTTATAGAGGCTTGGTTGTAGACTGATTGGTCGATAATTGCCTATGTCAGTAGGGTCTCCCTTTTTATAAAGCAATACTATATCTGATTTCGCCCATTCGGTAGGAATTTTTCTGTTGTCTAGAATTTTATTAAACAGCGTGGTTAGAGGTTCCACCAGTAGAGCTATTCCTGCTGAGATGGCTTCGTTTGAGATACCGTCTGGACCGTTGCTTTTTTCTTTCTTTAGCGACATTATTTTTTTGAAAATTTCTTGAGAAGTAAATCTAGGTAGTGTTCCATCATTTTTCTGAATATCTAGGGTCTCTATTTCAGATGGTGTTTTGCAAGTGTAGAGATCTTTGTAAAATTCGGTGGCAACTTTTATTATTTCTGACCTAGATAATGTATATTTGGTAGAGGTGGATTTCTTTCTCAAAGGAGGTATCCACTTTTTAGTTGTTGTTAATTCTTTTAGACCCTTTTTTACACTTCCTGAATTCTTCAGATGTTTTGTAATCGTTGTTAGTCTATGATTTTGGTATTCTTTTCTGATCGTTTTATAGATGTATTTAAATAAGAAACATTTTTCTTTTTTCTCTTCTAATGTTAATTGTTTTTTGTTTACTAGTTCGTTTCTTCTTTCTATGAGATTTTTTATTTCATCTGAAATTATGTAGTGTCTTTTTGTGTTTGTGCTATTATTACATACCGATTTTAAACTTTTATCCATTGATTGTTTGATTTTTCCGTAGTACGTCTCTACATCATCATTTTCTTGTAGATTAATGTTACAAATATTTGATTTTAATGCTTCAATGTATTTCTCTTTTATTTCTTCGGTTTGTAGAGAAAATTTGTTATTTTTATATGTAGATCTAGATTTCTTATTTCTGTTAAACATCAGAGTGCCTCTCAACAATCGGTGGTCGCTCGGGAACGATAAGTTGCTTATCACTTCAAAATTTGTAAATTTACTTTTTATGTTCGATAATAAATAATCTATCTGGCTTCTCTTTTTATTTGGGGAAAGCCATGTCCAGAGGTTCTTGCTTTTCTTTTTAAATAAGCTGTTTATAACAAACAGTTTATTTTCCCAACAAAATTGGAGTAGAGTTCTCCCTCTATTGTCTCTTTTTCCAAAGCATGAGGTTCCCATAATTCGGTCTTCTCCTTTAACTTTTTGACCAACTCTGGCATTAAAGTCTCCCATGACTATAACGTTTTTGCTGCAGTGTTTAAGAGTTTCTTGCAACTGATCATAGAACTCTTTTATTTCTAGGTCGGTTGTCTCAGAGGTCGGCGCATGAGCCTGGACAATAGATAGATTTGTATTCTCTATATTTAAGTGTAGTGTGCACATTCGTTCATTTATTGCAGTGAAGCTTTCTATGCTATTTTTTAGGTGTTTTTTTATGAGAAAACCAACCCCGTATTGGCCTTTAGTCTCTCCAAAATAGCAGAATATTTGGTCTACACCTTCTTCTATACTATAGCCTGTACGTCTGATTTCTGAAAGACCAATGATGTCGTATTTTATAGTTGATATGGCGTGCGTAAACTCTAGCAGTCTTTCATCTGATAGTAATGACCGAGCGTTGAATGTACATACGTGTAGAGGGTGGAGTGGAGGGTTTTGGTCTGTGACCCCCGCGGTGACCGGCCGTATTGGGGGATATAATATGTTTTTTCTTTCTGTATTTTTTGTGCTTTTTTTATTTGCGAGAGGAGGAGGCGCTGATTGCTATATTTCGTTTTGTTCTTGGTTGTCTTTCTGGTTTGATAGGTTGTTCTTATTCTTGTTAACTAAGTAGTTTAACATACTAGGCTTAAGAACTGCTTCTGAAATGCTGGATGACCTTTGTGGTAAAGAGTGGGTTTGTTTTGGTTTATTATTTCGTTTTTCTTGTGGTCTTCTATCCGTTTGCTTGTGAGAGTTTGATAGGTTTGACTCAGGGGAAACGGAGAGCATTCTCTTTTTGCTACCAGATGTTTCTGATTTGTTTTCGAGTATGATGAGTTTATCATATTTAACGATAGCTTTGTTTCCTTTTTCTTTTTCAATTTTAACTTTTTCCTGTAATTCTTTCCTTTTTTCTAAGACATATTTTGGGTAGTCCTCCTTTATGTAAAATTCTGTGTCTTTCAGTATTGCTTTTTGCTTGAATATTTCAATCTTCTTACCAAGTGTTGTGAAAGTTACTGTTATGGGTCTAATTCCTTTACCTTTTTTGCCTAATCTGGTCAATGCTTGTATGTCCCTTTTTTCCAGCTTTATGCAGAAGTGTTTGTCTATGAAATTAATAATAATATTTTCCAAGTCTGAATAAGACGATTCTGTTTCATGTAAGCCAAAGAATACTATGTTTCTCTGTCTAGCTAATTTTTCTAGAAAATATATTCTTTTTTCTTGGTTTTCAACTACTTCTTTCAGACAGTTATGTTTTTCTTCCCATACTTGGAATTTTTCTTCAAGAATCATATTTATATTTTTTGTTATATTTGTAGTGACATCTTCTCCGTTTTTAATGATCATTTTCTTCTGGTCGTCTAGTTCGTTCTGAATTTTACGAAGTGCAGACATTACTTCCTCCATATTTAAGTATTTAAAGTATTTAGTATTTATTTTAGTACAAGTGCTGGCCTCTATTGGTGGGTAGCCGAACTAAAGTTGAAGTGAATCAAGTAAGTAGCTCTAAGAATTTCTGCTACTCCTTGATAGATGGCGTTACTATGTAATAGGTAAATGATCGTAATGAATGACTTTTGATTTTTTGTTTGAGGTTAGATTTAGTGAAGATTGTCCAAATTTAACACTTTCTACTTTTATTTGCACTTTTATTTACACTTTCTTGTTGACTGATCTTCTTTTTATTTTTTCCAGCTTTTATCTTCGGTTGTTTCAATGGTATTCGAACGATTAAAAAATCCGTTGAAATTATTTTAATCAATGTTTTTGATATAATTATAGCACTTTCATTGTAAATAACGATAATCCTGGTGTTTTGTAACTCTCTTTACACGATAATCACTGTTTTTTATTAAATATTCCGATATATTCACTTTTATTGGTTTATAAATAGCGGAGTCGATGCAAACACTGGGAACTATACCATATCGCAATACAGATGAGACGTAACTATGATATGCTATTAGAGCGGATTGTTTAGAGGCCACTTGTCTTATTCTATTTAGAGCAAATATAAATTTGTCCAATTTGGCAGCAATCATGTCTATATGTGCCTTTCAATTACAGAATCTGTCTATCGTGATCCCTAAGAAATTTGTTGCTATTCGTTCAATATCATCACAATCCTGACCTCTGATAACAAGTGTTGTGTCATCTGCAAATAGGACACACTTTTGGTCAGTCACACTGGGCAAATCATTGATATATAATAAAAATAAAAGTGGTCCAAGTACGCTTACCTGAGGTACGCCACAGTGATTTAGTGTATATTAAGAAGTATAAGATTTTCTAAAATTACCTTGCATCTTAGATATTTCGACACACTGTGTGCGGTTGCTTAGATAACTTTTCATCCATTCTAAGGCATTGCCCCTTATTCCATATCTATCTCATTAGTGTAGGAGTAACCTGTGTGAAACAAAATCAAATGCTTTGCTCATCTCCAGGAATATTGCCAAAGTATTTAGTTTAAGATCGAGATTATGTGTAATATGTAATATGTTGTGGTTGCCACATCAACAAGATGGCTGCATGAGAAAGTGGAATTGACGTTCTTGTGGCCAGCCCGTTTCCCAGATTTCAATCCCCTGTTTTTTTTTTATTGGGGCGCTCAGGGCGAAACAGTTTATTCAAAGTCGAAAGATGAGCTGCGTGAACGAATTTCTCGAGCTGCGAAAGACATCAATTGTCGAAGATATGCCCGGATAATAAGTAGATCTTTTTAAGAAGATGTAGAAAGTGTATTCAGGCTGATGGTAAGCAATTTAAACATTTGTTGTAATAAAAAATGTTATTTCTCTATCTGACTTTTATTTCAATAAAACTAAACTTAACTAGGTCAAGATTTTTCATCATTTTATAAATCATACTTGCTTTTGTTGACTTTGATAAAAGTGGCATCACTATCTGTCTCATTCACTCATGGCAAACATGACTGTCCACTATCCATCTCTCTCATCATTTAACTGTAAAATCACGAACCTACCAAGAGCTTAAGGATTTATTTTTATCGGGTTACTTAAGGATTTATTTTTTTACTCGTTTTTATGAATATGAAACTAAAAAGTAAGTATTGTACCATTTTAAAATTCTAATTGAATGCGCCTAATTTTTAAGGCACTTTAGTTCTTTTCTTTTAAAGAAGGGCCTTTGAAAGCCGACAAATTTCGAAAATTTTAAACTCATAGTTAAACAAATAGTCTTAATTCTAGGAAACTTGAGGCAATTGTGTCATTATTTATAACTGTAATTCTAATAATGTTATTAATGGTTACGGTTCCAAAGTTTAAATGAACAAAAATAATAAAAACTTACCACCATAACCGAAAATGGTTACAGTTTGACCAAATTTATAGGTTTTTCTTCAATGAGCATAATTTTCAAACTACATGGGCTAGAGTTTTTTTTTTCAGATTTTTCTCATAATATTTACAATCAATCCTGTCTCTTGACGCTTGACATTGATTTCTGGGACAGCCTGTATATAAGTGTCAGCCAAATCGGCTTTTATCTTTTTGCAATATGAATATCGATAACCCCCTACAGTCAATAGTCAGACTCTTTATTAACTAAAATTGTTGACTCGTAATTATTACTGTCTTCTTAATTGATTCTTGATATAATTAAAGTTTATGTAACAAAAATAAGTTCAAACTTTTCAAGAACAATCATTACTCAAATTGTTAATATTTGATCAAACAGTTCTTCAGTAGTTCATGTTTTTTCTATACCACATAATTACGCAATTTGTCAATTCACATTAAAGAAACAAATTATTTACACATGACATAACATGGTAGGTGTGTTGTATAAATTATTAAGTGGTTCTTATTTGAGCTTGAAGCACAATGTTATGTCTTAATTAATATGAACAACCGACGCGGAAAAGGTTATTATGTAAAGTTTCAATTACCTTCTAGTGGAGTTTTCATTTTAAACTTATATTTTGATACATATATATTACAAATATATTTTTGAATGTATTCGTCAAGCACTTCATTTCATATCTATTATTATTGCTAAGATTTATATTTAAATGGCGTAACACAAAACCGTATTTCAATTTTAAAACAAAATTAAAACAGCATCGTTCGGATTTATGTAACTTTCCTAATAACACCCCATAGGGGAGAGTAACCCATATTGGACCACTTTTGACATAACACAAAAAAAAACCTAAACCTTGTTAGTTACAGAAACTCAATTTGATTTAGGTGATAGCTTGGTATTCCAGTCACAACATATTACGAACTTAAGATTCTTATCAAGTTAAAACTATTTAAAAATATGCATCTACTGATAGTTGTCCTTCGGTCCAATTTATTGGTCTAGTATTCTAAATTGTACCGCGGGATACATAAATTGTACCAAAGAAACCCACAGTATAAAATTTAGGTAGCATTCTCAAATAAAACTAAATTTTCGGTTATAATAATTTCTTTATTTATTATTATCTCCTGTGGACCACTTTTATCAAAATAATGTTTATTACATATAGCACATATATATTATAAAAACTGAACACGTTTTCGCGGTTAAACCCCTTTACCCTGTTAAGAGAAGTACTCTCAGGTTGTCTAATAGTAATTTGTGGATGATGTTTTTTAAATGCATAAAACCAACGTTTGCTAGCAATTTCATTTTCCTTATTAAATGAATGAGGAATTTGTTATATTCTGCAACTTGGTAAGCTAAACGCCGTAAATTTTTGATTGTAAGACCAAACAAATGGTTTTCTAAAAGCAAAATATGGTTTATCATTTCCATTTCTTGCTCATGGGAGAAAACTGTTGGTTTTCCCTTATGAGTAGTATCCTTATTAGCATATTTATTCTGCTGTTTGACGTGCCGTAAAATAGTTGGTTTTGGTACTTGAAACCTTCTAGATATTTCGTTAATTCCATTTTTTTTTCTTCATATGCTTGCAATGCCTTTTTCAAATCTTCTCTACTCCATTTATAATATTTTTTTTGAGCAGTCTCCATCTAAATCAAAACTAAAACCAGGATTATTTTTCTCATTTAAAGAAGATGCATAAATTGTACCGGTCTAATTTTGGAACCACATAGAGGTCCGATATAGGCTACACGGTGAGTCGACAACAATCTTAAAAAAAACAACAACATAACCTGAAGCAACTGATTTGTATTCGTGATGCACAAAAACAGCAGGAATTGTGCTTTCTTATAAAATATAGTTTTGAATGACTACTAACCTTTTTATTTAGCTACCTTCTTAGACAATATACGTAAAAAATACACCAAAACACAAAAAAAAAAGTTTTTCACTGTCACTCCCGTGTCATCTGTCGTAAGAAGAAATAAAACGGCGCCGTGACAGTGGCACTATAGTTGCTTTGTTGTATGTTGCCAGTGTAGAATAATGGCACCAATTTGTAGGAAATACGAAGGTGGTATAATTTAGGAGTCAGTACAATATAGGTTACTCTCCCCTACATACTATACATCCAGTCGTCAAGTGCTAGCGCCTAGTCCCGATTTTTTCCGAAGTAACTGAAGTATCCAACCTCTTGGGTGTGTGCGCACTGGAAAATAATCAGAGGGCTTATCTTGTACTTTCAAAATCTATCGTAATCCCTTCCAATGTAACTTTTGAAAGCTATTCACTAGCATTACGCTACAAGTATTTGACACGTGATAACGATTACGGTTGAGACGGTTTTTTGATAGATAATTAATAGAAGATATAGTTAATTTGACGTTTATTGGAATTCAATAAGGAAAGCGCTAAATGCAATTACCTTTTAAAGCTATTTAAAAGAAAAAAAATTATAAGAAAGATTTTAATATTAGCTGCAATTTTTCGACGGATTTTCTTCATTATTCTTCATTTTCTTCATTATTCAAATCGTCACTTGTTTCAAAACCAATTGCGAGTTTAAAAGTTATGATTCCAAAAATTCATAACTTTTAAACTCGTGATAGATTATAAAATTAGACAAGCCCACCGGATTAAAAAACCGGCAAAGAGTTCGGCAATCGAAACGTATCATACTATACCTAAGATCGGTAATTTAATAAAAGTAGTAGGTATACAGTTAATATGCTACTGAAAACCGATTTAAATAGGTACTATATTTTTTTATTTATATTTTGATCCAATAAAAAAAAACAACATTAATTTGCTTCGTGCGTATCCCAATTAAAATATGAATAAAGACAAAACGTGGGAATAGTTGTATTCATGTTTTTGTTTCTTCATTTAAAACGGGCTGCGATACACCGCACCGTAATTTGTAATTTGTTTCTGGGTTTTAATTTATAAATTCGATTTATTGACTTTTCTTTGATGTTATTATTCTGTAGCATAACATTACTCTTTCAAAGAAAATGTATACTACGTAAAAAGAAACGTTACTATAACGTACTCGTTCAAGAGCTCGTGAG